ATAAACTTTCTTCAATCCAAGCATGTAGTGGTAACCCTTAAATTCTCACCCAAACAAACCTCTCTTCTACAATATTTGATGGGGACCAGAATTTAACCCAATCAAAGTAAGATGGCACCCACTCAAGATTCCCATGTACTAACTCCTTTATACTCTCTAGATCCTCGTCATCAATTAACACAAGATTGCCTCCCATTGGAGCAATTTTGATTGATGGAAATCCTTCATTAAAGAAAATCTTTGGAAGATTTGGGATGATAGAAGGAGATAAAGCCACCCCAACAGCACATTTCATCAGATTCTCTTTTGCCTTGTTCGTTCCTTTTAACTCTATCACCTTTTTGTACTTAAAACCTCTAGTGCGATGTATCTTAGTTGATTCTCTACTTAAACTCCTTGGGTAGTCTCTTGCCTCTGATGGGGTTGGTTTTTTCTTGTTTCTTTGGACTTTCCTCTATCTTTGTGTTGCAGGAGACATTGAGCATATGTCATTTTTGGAGCCTGTCTATTTCCTTCATCCTCTTTCATGCTATCTTCATAAATGGTCCTTTTTTTGCTGCTTTGCCATCTAGCCTTCTCTTGCAGTTTTGCATTCACTCTACATACATTTCTCTTCTCTTCTTTCCTCTGTAGGGTTAAAGATCACCTTTCTATTTCCAATCCTTATGTTTTCTAGTTGCTTCTTCATCTCTTGATAATCCCTAGCATCCAAGAATTTGGCAAAACCATACTTGTTGCCCCTTCTGTCCCTCTTACTCGGAATAAAGATATCCCAAAGTCTACCTCGCGCTCCTAATGAAGAAGAATAGCTGCTTCGCTCCCTAATCTTCAGGAAAGTTGTAGAAGTGATATGACACACATTGCTTCAATAAACCCTTGTTATAAGCTGGTAGTCTGTTCACAAAATCCTTGAAATCGATTATCCATTTGCCATTGCCGTGTCGTCTCTTGTCTACATGTTCAATTGCCATTTCTCCTGATCTTCACTTTTCATCAATTGTTCATGAGACTTCATCTCTTAGTTTATTCTCTTATATTTTATCATTATATTTATCTATATACTCTACTTTGCCCTCATTTATCATTAGCAATTTGATTGTTATTAATTTTCTTTCATTATCCTTATTTTCTTAGTATTATTGCTTCTTTGTTACTTCTTACATCCACTACTAGAATGCATTGAGTTATTAATAAGAAACCATGTCGATCACTAAGCAAAGTACGTCGAAAAACCAGATTTTCAACTTGAACCACGTTGATAATCTCTTGTCGGTATAAGTTTTCGTGATAATCCGTTATCACCGATGTGACTTTTTGTCACGTTGATGAATTCTATGCACATGACTGACAAGAATCAAGTCTGCATATCCTCATCGAAAAAGTACAGCAGGCTAGTTGCCACGTTGGTGATTTACCGATGCGAGTTACATTGGTACCAAACATGTTTTAATATTTTCCCTTATTATTTTACCGGCAAGAATTTAATCGGGATTGATTTTTGGGAAGTCACAAAGAATGGTGCAGGATGCAAGTTTACCGACCTACACCAAGCTGGGAGAGGAGTTATCCTCAAAAAATAATAATGCTAGTTACCGACGTATATAAAACATTTGTAATTGCACCAAACCAGAAGTCCTTCTCCAGTCCACGCTTGCACTCCGGGATGACCTGCAAAGCCCCGAGGTGGAACTCGGGGTAAACACTCCGATGCTTAAGTCAGCAATAATCGGGACTACCTTTAGGGCGGAGATAAAAAGAGCTTAGGGTTGGTTTCAATTACCTTTTTGACGTGGCCCGGAGGGGTATTTATAGGGTCCAATGAGGAACCCACGTGGCATGCCAAGCAAGATAATCGGAGCCTGACGTGTCCATCCAGACGATTATTTCGGGACCGGGAATTTGAGAGGTATTCATATATACGGATGTCTACCATACTTGCTGTGCCGCTTATCATAAGGAATCAGGTGCGGGCATGCTTATTGTCA